ATGGCTGCACAGTTATATATTTTTATGTATTTTATTGTCTTTTGTTGCCATGTGTTCAATGGAGTTTTGCTTCTGTCCTTGGAGATAATTGGATTACTTCCCAATTTTCTCCAGGATAGAAGACTCTGTGGAACTGGTTTTGGGCAGAAAAGCCATGATTCATTTGGTCACAAATGACTACGATCTATCTTTTGAACCTCTGGACCAATTATTATTTTGACGTATCTTTGTATTTGGTGTATGCTGATTCTGAAAATGTAAGTTTTATGTGAATGTGATGCATACTTTTAAAATTATGATTAATGTGTAAAAAATGTATTTCTCTGCCTGTGATAATTACATTACCCATTGTGTAAGTTAATTGTATCACAGGCAGAGGGGAGGATTTTGTGTGGGAGTGTCTGAGTGTATTGTACGTGTTTATTGGTTGTGTGTTTTTTTTAGATATATGTGTATATATTTCAAAATAAACTTACAATGAAATCATATATATGCATTATATATGTATAATATATTATAAAATGCTTTAATAATTTTACAATATATTATACATATATAATACAGACACTCCTCACTTAGCAACCTGATTCATTTCCTACGACCCAGTCGTAGAACGAATAGGTCGGTAAGTGATGAATTAAGGGATTCCCTGCTCTGGTGCGTTCGTCTATGTTCGGGGAAGTTTCTTAGCCCAGACAGTCCCCCTCAGAAGAAGACCAACTGGGGGAACGGCGGCGATTGTTATGTTCATGGGGAGGAATAAGGAGGGAGAGCGAAGAAGGGTATGGGTTAATTTAAAAAAAAAAATTTATTTTATATTTTTATTTTATTTTAACTGAGTGCCTCGACCCCTCGAGGCACTCAGTACAGGCAGAGCATCGGAAGCCTGCCTGAAGGCTTCCAATGCTCTGCTCCACACTGCCTGGCGCCAAGTGCGGCAACAAGGAAGTGATCACTCCAAGGGGAGCGATCACTCGGGTCCCCGGCAGTGTGGGGAGTATTACACGATGTCTCAATATCGAGGCATCGTGTAATGCCCTTAGGGGGGCTGGAAGGACCATTTTTTGTCAGACGTACATCATACATCTGCGATCCTTAAGGTGTTACAGGCCTTTAGCACCTTTGGCTGCTTTCATCTGCTCTGTCAATTAAACAACTCCTCCTAGATGCTACTTTAGCTGTTTTGTCTATAATTCAGTGATTCATGTTACTTTTTGCATTATATAGTTATCAAACATGTGACGAGACCAATCTCGCCACATTGCATTGGAGAAGCCTGGTTGCTCACCTGCTGCCTTTGGACTATGGCCCCCTTTTAAAAGACTTTATTTTTCCATGCAGAAAAGCTGTATTCGTGCTTTTCTGCCGGTTGTTCGGTAGTTTCAAACTACCGAACAACCGTACGAATGACTGGACCACCTGGGAGCTGGAGTGTGCCGGCAATTAACCTCCCTGAAGCTGCGGTTAACCGCAGCTTAATTGATGAACGCTGGGTGGCCGCCGTTCGTATCCCGAACACGAGGTCGCGGCCATTTTAAACCATACGAATGAACAGCGGTGTTCGCCTCTATTTTCATGGAACTAAAATCGGACACAGTTTTGCGCGAACACCGCTGAAGCCGCCGACCTCCCTTCTTGTTCGGTGAAAGCACACGAATGACCCGGTGTTCGGTATTTTTGTGTGAATGTCTTATACCCCAGATAGGAATCCCATGGAGCCCATTCGTATGAAACTGACTGTAAGGACTTTGGCTCCATGGCGATTAAACTGCATTCGTGTGGTCTGAGTGCCATTCACCTAATAATGTGCACTCAGACCTGAGCTATCTGGGGATATGTTACATGTCTGTGTTTTATGTAGTAAATGTTACTTTGTGCATTTTAAAGTATTATGCTGGTTTTGTGTTCCCACGTGTGTAATGGAGTTTTGCTTTTGTCTTGGGAGATAATTGAGTTACTTCCCAATTATCTCCCAGGGCAGAGGGGAGGAAGCCAGGATGCATTGTGGGAATATACTGTGACTGTGTGTCCTATTTGTATACTTGTCTGTCCTTTGTCACAGTCTCCCATTTGGTCCCCTAGGGGAGTGTCCACCAGGTGGGAGACCTGCATAAATACTGGGCAGGTAGCCCTCATTAAACAGACCACTGCTTGACCCTCAACACGGAGCCTTGTCTCGTCTTTGGGGGGATTTACTGTATGCTGCTAAGGACCGATTGCCAGGAGTGTAAGCCGCTTGGGAGCTTTTCCTGTTCGTCTGGTAGCAGCAATTCGTATGGTTCCTGTTCATGTATTTGGAGTGCTACCTTATTCCCTTGTATGCCGTTCGGGAGTTTGGAGCATTCACTTGTATTCAGTTCGTGAGTTTTGGTGATTCTACAGTAGCTGTGCCTGTCTCTGAAAGGGGATTATCGTCTAAGCGTTTTTTTTCCCTTTTGTGCAAAACGGTCCGTTACAATTGGTGGCAAGCGGCGGGATCGTTCCCACAGACTACAGGACAGCTACAGGTGACACCATTCCGTGGATTTTTACAATTTGAGGGCAACGCATGTCCCAGTACAGCGACCCTGACAGCACCAGCATGGAACCAGCAGTGGAGCATGACGAGGGTGCCATGGATGACCGAGATGCAGTCCGTAAAGGCATCTGGTACCAGGCACTGGGTATTGTGGAGTACCAGCGGGGCAAGAGACTCCCCAAGGAAGACCAGCGGTTGCAGAAGCGAGTAGCCCTGCGGATGCCCTTCCTGGGAGAACAGCCCCTGGATGAATGGGTGAAGGAATTGGAGCACCGGGTATGGCAGGAGTTGTGGCTAGAAGATGCCTACCAGGCGCTCTGGTGGTATGGGGCACAGTACCTACCCTGGACAGCCGAGCATGACAAGCCAGAGGGAGAGGAGTTTGATGGTCCTGGCTTGTTATGGGAGTCGTTTTCAGAGCTCGAATTTGGGAGCCCTACACAAGCCCGGTTCAGTGATCTCTTGGAGTGGAGGGAGAGCAGGTATGACTGGGACGACACTCACAAAATTGAGCAAGACCTGGTCCACCTGGTGACCCGGGAGATGGAGCTAGAACAGGGCTACCAGCAGCTGTTCCAATACAGTGAGAAGGCTCAGCAGGAGAGCAGCATGACAGAGCCAGACCCATTCAGAGGGGACGAGATGGTACAGTTTTACTGGGAAGAACCCCAGGTAGCCGGTGGAAATGGGACCGAGGTCTCTCCACTGGTCCTGCAGGGAATTGGGAGCCCAGTCTCCATTCCCCAGCGGCAGTGTAAAGTGCAGGGAGAGGAGAGCAGCGTCCTCCCTCCCCAGCGGCAGGTTGAGTTACAGGGGGCAGAGGTAGTTGTTCCTGCCCTCCAGCAGCAGAGTGATATGCCGGGAAGGCAGTGTAAAGTGCAGGGAGAGGAGAGCAGCATCCTCCCTCCCCAGCGGCAGGCTGAGTTACAGGGGGCAGAGGTAGTTGTTCCTGCCCCCCAGCAGCAGAGTGATATGCCGGGAAGGCAGTGTGAAGTGCAGGGAGAGGAGAGCAGTGTCCTCCCTCCCCATCGACAAACTGAGTTACAGGGGGCAGAGGTAGTTGTTCCTGCCCCCCAGCAGCCAAGTGATATGCTGGGACGGCAGTGTGAAGTCCAGGGAGAGGAGAGCAGTGTCCTCCCTCCCCAGCGGCAGCGTGATTTTTTGGGAATTGGGAGCCCAGTCTCCATTCCCCAGCGGCAGCACAGATTATTGGGAATTGGGAGCCCCGTCTCCATTCCCCAGCGGCAGAGTGTCCTACCGGGAATAGAGAGCCCAGTCTCCTTTCCCCAGCAGCAGGACTCTGTATTGGGAGCAGAGACAGTCGGTCTCCCTCCCCCGCGGCTGGAAGTATGTATGGGAGAGGAGCTTGTTACCCCCTCTCCCCAGCGGCAGCTTAATGTACCAGGGGGAGACAGTAATATTTTATTTAGTTTTGTAAAATGCTTCCAAAATTAAACAGAATAACAAAATAAATAACAAAATAACAATAATAAACAATCAACTGAAATAATACCCAATTCAAACATAATACCAAATGAAACATAAATACCCCAAAATTAAACATAAATACCGAAATAAAAAACTCAGGAAGGGGCACTAATAGGGGAGTAAACTTATACCAAATTAAATAACTGGGAATAACAGGGAGAGGGATTAACAGAAAAGGGGGGGGAACTAAATCATAAGGGGATAAATTAAAAGGCGGGGGGCTCCATTACTTCATGGAGCCTTGGGGAGGGAGAAAAAAGGCTGAAATGCTCCTGAAGGAGCTCTTACATAACAAGGGGGGGACAAGGGGGGACCCAATTGACCTAGAGTCCACAGCCAGCTAAACACAAACATAAACCAAGCGTGAAATAAAATACACACATAAACATAAACAAACCCATTACCCACATGGAGTCCTTTTCTCAGTTCATAAAACCCACCAACCACATGGAGTCCATCCCTCCGTCCATCAACACCAACCCACCACCTACACTTTAAACCCAAACTTTAAACACAAACCCACCACCCAAATGGAGTCCATTTTCAATTCATAAAACCCACCACCCTCATGGAGTCCTTTTCTCAGTTCATCACATCCAAACCCACCACCCACATGAAATCAAAATTTTGTCCATAGACCCACCACCCACATGAAATCCAGTTTGTACACCACCCTCAAGGAGTCCATCCCTCCGTCCATAAAGAAACCCAGTGTTTTTTTTTTTGTTTTTTTTCCCCACCCAAAGTAAATTTTTCAATTTGTCCATACACCAGAAACCCACCCTAACCCAAACAATACCAAAAATAACCTGTGCATAACCATAACCATAACCATAACCTAACTACACTGCACTACCTAGACGCAGAGGAAGGTACTCGTCTGCTAAAGGTGGCAGCCTTCCATGAAAAGAAAAACCAGTTCAAAATCTACGGGGGAAAGGTGAAGACAGATTTGGAATTCCCTTCACCAAGACAAGGGCGCCCATGGAGCGGTTCAAGGCGGGTGGACCTTGAGATTTCGCCACAAACGCTGCCAAATGGTGGGATCCATAGAGGCCCTTTCGGTGGTATAGATCCCACGAACCGCCCTCAGAATGTCTGCTACCACCACCTGACAGGAAAGGTCTTTACGTTGAAGGGAAACCTGACACCTTGCCATCCAAGTGAAATACTTAACCACTGAACTGACTACATAAAGAGTGCCCAAATCAAAAGCCCTCCCCCATGAGTTGGACGTCCCGTACGCCCACTCCGCATAAGTCCAGCGGGATAAGCAGGGGATGCCTAAGGCGGCTGAGACCTCTTTGTAGACCTGTACGTTAAAGGGGCACTCGAGGAGGAAGTGGTCCATGGACTCCACTTCCCCGGAACATTCCACCCGAGGACAACCACGATCCGTTATGTTCCTGTACTTCAAGTTCCCTCGAACGTAAAGTCTACCGTGGAAGGAGAGAAACGCCACGTCTCGGTATTTCTCCGGAAGGCGCCTGGAGTTGATGTTTTTCAACCCCGAGGCGAGAGTACTTGGCGGGCAGTCCTTCAAAGCAAGCTGAATGCCAAAGTGGGTGGCCAGGACCCTCCCGTCGAGAAGCTTCTTGGGAGTGTCCCGAACCTCCTCCACCGTGACGTTCCACCTGCGCAGAATTCCCACTCCCTCGATGACCGAAGACGGAAGATAGCTAGAATGCCGAACTCTCATGCTCTTCACCCTCCCACCCTGAAACCAGTCCACCAGGAAAGGTGTGACCCACTCCCTGAATATACATACCCAGCCAGGCTGCTCATCCTTCAGGAGAGCCCCAAAGTTCCTTTTCAGGAAGTTGTTAGTTAAAAAGACGATGGGGTTGACCATGGCCAGACCCCCGTCCTTTCTGGCCAGGTAAGTGACCTCTCTTTTGATGAGGTTCAGCCTGTTCCCCCACAACATGCGGAAGAACAGCGCAAACATCCGAGCGTGGAGGGACCTGGGCAAAAGGAAGATGTTACTGACGTAGCCGAATACGGTCAGAACATAGGTTTTGATTAGGTTCACCCGTTCTCTGAACGTCAGTTTCCACCTGTGGCTCTCCTCCACCTTGCTAGAAGCTATGGCAAGCCGTTCGGTCCAGTTCCTGAGAGCCAGATCCCCTGGTCCGAACACCACCCCCAAGATCTTAATTTCAGGCTGGGCCCTCGGGTCTGGTCCCCCTCCTTCCCGCACCAGAAAACTACGCTCTTGTCCCTGTTGACACGAGAGGCTGAAGCGGCAGAATACGCTAGGATTAAATCATCCACCTCCGTGGCCTCCCGAGTATTGGAGACCACTATGGAGATGTCATCAGCGTAGGCAACAACCCGTAAAGGCCTCTCCGGTATATCCCCCTTTCTCCGTCCCTGCACTTCTCGAGGGCTTCCCTGACTTCGAAAACGGCATCAAAGACAGTTCTGCCCTCGATTGAACAGTACTGGGAGGTGGATAGGACACGCCTCGCTAGGCCCTGTACTCGTTTCATCAAAATCTTTGCCAGGACCTTCCTGTCGACATTTAACAGGGATATGGGGCGCCAGTTCCCCACATCCGCTGTGTCGAGCACGTTCGGCTTGGACAGCAAGATCAGGGCAGAAGTCCTCATCGAGGGTGGCAATAATCCTTGAGCCAAGCTCTCATTAAACACCTCGGTCAGATGAGGGGCCAAGAGGTCGCAGAACTGTTGGTAAAACTCGGCCGTCAGACCATCAGGACCTGGCGACTTACACTTGTTCTGCTGTTGGATACTCTCTGTGACCTCTTCTATGGTGATCTCGCTGACCAACTCGTCAAAAGAGAGGTCGCTATGCTCAGGGAGCGTGAGCTCGCTCAAGAAGTCATCCACCCTTCTCCCGTGGGAGGTTCCCTCCTCGCTACATTGGGGGCTGCCCTTTCCGAGGAGCTCAATATAGTAGTCGCGGACCACCTTCAGAATCCCGCGAGGAGACTCCTCTAGGGTCCCGTCGGTGCCCCGCAGACTAGGGATGGACTTGGTACCTTCCTTCCGCTTGCAGCTAAGATAAGGATCGGGCGAGCGGTATGACCCATGATCCCTCTCTTTTACAAGGGAGGCGTACCTGTCATACTGATAACTCCTCATCAGGTTTTTAACTGCCGCAATGTCCTCGGGGTCACCTCCCTGCGAGATCAGGATGTCTAACCTCCCAAGCAAGCCCAGATACATCTTGTACCTGGAGGACTGCATGTTCCGGGCGAGATTGCGAAACAGCCGTTGAGTTCTGGCCTTCACCATCTCCCACCACTCAGACTTCGTTTGGCCTAAGTCGGCCAATGTCATCTGATCGTGAAAGAATTCCATGAAGGCTTGCTGAACCCTCTGTTCCACCAGGAGGTCTGAATTTAGCCGCCAGATCCCTCTACCCTTAGGTGGGGTACTATAGACGTTCAACTCGTAAGACAAAATGTGATGGTCGGAGAACTCCACCGGTGCCGCCACCGGGAAATTCTCCTTAAAGAAAAACCTATCTATCCTACTCTGACAGCTACCTCTGTGATAAGTGTACCCACCCGTGGGATTGGGAGTGTGATGAAGGTACACATCGACCAATCCAGCCTGACTAACCATCTTATTTAAAAAATAGGAGTCATACCCCAGCCTCTGAGTGGCGTCTCTCCTGTCTTGAGGCCTAGTTATGGTGTTAAAGTCACCGCCAAACAGGATTTGCTGGGATGTATAAAGGTAAGGCTCTATCTCAATAAACAGGCGCTTCCTCTCCCACTTAGATTGGGGGCCATAGATATTAATTATCCTGAAAGGTTGCCTGCCCATTGAGACATCTAAAACCACACACCGTCCTTTTTGCAACTCAATAACCCTGTTGATGCTAACATCAACGTCCTTAAATAGGATGGCGATTCCCCCATATCTCTCTGTGGCTAGAGAGAAGTAGGAGGGCCCCCATCTCCAGTCCCGCTTTGCAGCGTGCAGGGCCGCGAGGGTTTCCAGCCGGGTCTCCTGTACCAAGATGACATTGTACGGAGCCCGGCTGAGGTGGTCGTAAACCAAAAAGCGGGCCCTGCTGGACTTAATGCTGTTTACATTCACCGTAGCCACAGAGAGTACAGGAAAAGTCGCCATAAGGGCATTAAGTATAAGGAGACTTTCCCTTCCTTCTGCGGTACCCCTCCTCCTCCGTGTCGGAACCGAGGAACCTCTTCACTGAGACTCCGGGATACAGTGGCCCGTCGTCTCTCAGAAGCACCTCCTGTCCCACCTCAACCCCTGCCACCACCTCGGGGAGGTTCGCCATCTCCTCCTCGTACTCACAGTCGGCCCAGCTGGAGGACAGTGCCTCGTACCTGTTAGATACGGGCACCGGGGCCTCCTGCAAGCCCGAAGAGGAGGATGACGCCCGTGCCACACCACCCTTATAAGTGGCGTCTCCCCCTTTCGGGGGTTTCGCCGCAGGGGGTATGGCGATCTTCCGGGGTGAGGGCAGCGTCGAGGTCTTGGAGGGGGGGGTTTCTTACCTTTCACCGTGCTCCACTCTAGGGACTGTGCATCTAAGGGACGTGCATCTGGGGACTTTTCAGTGGGGGTAACCTTCACCGTGGAGAATTTAGGAGGGGGGGGCCTAGGGGGAGGGGGTCTAGGGGGAGCCATAATGGCTGTGGAGGTAGTGCGTTCTCTACGTACACTTTTCGTGAGGGGACGTGAACTTGTGGCCTTCCCAGGGTCCTGAGATGTTACAGAGACCGAGGGGAGGATGGGTTGTTGCTGGGGCAGGGAAACCCTTGTGCCAGAGATGGGCCTTGTAGATGACGATGCTACCTGAACCCCTAACCCAGCAGAGTCCATCTCCACCGGCTCCTGACTCCAGATGGACTCTACATTGTGCTGGGCTTCGGGGCAGGTGCGGTACGTGTGACCCATCTCTGAACACAGATGACACCGGATCTCCCTGCAGCTGTCCCGGAGGTGCCCCACAGCGCCGCACATAGTGCATTTGAGGACCGTACAGGCATTGCTGTAATGCCTGTACGATCCGCACTTGTGACATACCCTGGGCTGACCTGGGTAAAAACAGGATACCCGGTCAGCCCCGATGAAAAAACTATTAGGCATATGCTGTGTGACACCTCGAATCTCCCGCAGCAACACTGAAACAGTCCATCCGCCTGTCCAAATCCCATCCTCATCTAAGATCTTAACAGGGGGGGATTTAACATCCCCAAACCTCTTAGTCCAAACAAGGATGTCTGCTATGGGGATGGATTCATTTCTCACCAGGAAAGTGACCTTCTTAAGACCCTGGCGAGAAATGGCCACAGCGGTGAATCCTGCCCACTTTGTACCCTGTGCAGACCTGGCCGCTTCCCACCCAGCCCAGAAGCGATCCAGGAGCTGCGACGTCATAAAGGAGACGTCGAACTCCCGGGTGCCCGAGGCATGGATGAGCGCGTACAGGTCCACGGGCGCAAATCCCATATCCTTTAGCCGGGTCACCAGCCACCGTCTGTCAGGCACCTGGGTCTCACCCCCACAGATGAGCCGTACCACGTTCCTCCTGTTCCCAAAGGAAACCTGAGGACGCGTAGCAGGCCCGTCCGCAGAGAGGCGAGGTGGCCCAGATGCCCAAGCATTGGGCGCACCGGGACCCGCCGTCTGGGAATGATTCGGACGGACTCCCCTCGCTGAACCAGAGGCCTCGGTCACACCAGAACCCTGGGTGACAACCTGGGAGTGCCTAAGGGGAACCCGTGTACCTGCTTGTGCGTCTAAACTATTTATAACCGCGGCACCCTTTGTCAGGGTGCCTGTGCCCGTGCTCGTGCCCGCCACCTGTGTACCAACTAACTCCAGTGAACCAGGGGCAGGGGCAACATAACCTGAGGCGGGGGCAACATAACCAGGGGCAGGGGAAACAGTACCAGGGGCAGGGGCAATAGTACCGGGGGCGGGGTCAACATAACCAGAGGCAGGGGCAACAACACCTGGGGCAGGGGCAACAACACCAGGGGCAATAGTACCGGGGGCAGGGGCAACAACACCAGGGGCAGGGGTAACAACACCAGGGGCAGGGGCAACATCATTAATACAAACAGGCTGGCTGTGGACCTTTTTACTAAGGCCAATAGGTCCCATCATTACATTTACAGTTACATCCATACTCCCATCCTCCTCAGCCATCCCTAAACCACCAGTGGAGTCAAACACAATGTTAGTCATACTTTTCTTACCTCCACTGGCGGTTTCCTCAGTATGGACTGCTGGCTGAGGATGATGGGAGTCCCCTGCAGTCCTGTCTTCCATAGCGCCAGCGGCACCCGCGGCACCAGGAACAACAGGAACAACAGGAACAACAGGAACAACAGGGGGACTGGTTACACATTCAGACATAAGGGGAACACATAGGGAAGCAGGGGGAACAGACTGGAAGACAAACTTGGACACATCCAGGGAAACAGACTGGGGGACAAACAGGGGAGGAGACTTGCTGGTAGGGGAGAGCAGTCGAGCTTGCTCCAAGGGAGCAGAAGGAAAAGGAGGGCCATCACCCTGCTCCAGACTGCTCCATCCAGTGCCATCCTGCCCAGCAGCTGCCTGAGGACAGGAGGCAGAGGTACCAGCCACTCCAGGGGACGCAACCACACGGAGAGGAAGGTCAGAGGGAAGGCAGGTAAGGGAGGGAGTGGGAAGGGAGCAAGGGAAGGACCCCTCAATGGGATCACCGGTACACGCCATAGTACAGGCGGGGATGGTCTCCCTGTCACCATGGAGGGCGGCGGGGGGCCCAGATACTTCCACAGAGGCAGGTTGTGCAGGTTTCTGGGGCATACAGGTGTTGCCACCTGCAGGGTTAGTATCCCTGGCCCCAGGCTTCTGCAAGGCCTGAACATCATCATTGTACATATACTCAGCATTTGAACACTCACCCTCCTCTGTGGAATCTCCAGACCCCCTGACAGAGGTCTCAGGCTGACGCCGGGCGATGTTTTTCTTTTTCTTCTTTTTGTCCTTTACGGAGCCCTCCCCAAGTTCGTTTCCAAACTTGAGGAGAGACTCCTTAATCAGCCCTCGACCTCTGTCCTGCACTTTCAGCTGCCACTCTTCACCTTCCTCTCCGTCCCACTCCTCTTCACTGTCCTTCTCTCTGGCCTTCCCCTCCGTCTCAGCAGCGCCCCCTGGAGTAGCAAGGGCAGAGGTAGACGGCTCCCCAGGTGAGTGATGGGAGTTGGAATCCAAGTCCTTGCTGGACTCCTCACCTGGGGACATGTCCCTCCTGCCCTCCATAGCCCTCTGCCTCCTGGACCTCGTAGCGTCCTTGGCTCTCTGTTGCAGGATGGCCTGGATGTCTGCTATTTTCTTTTCAGTCTGGAGCAGGGTGTAGGATAGATGCTGCTCCACTAATTTTTTCTCAGCTATAGCGGCCCTCAAAGGACCTCTTTTGTAATTAGAGGTCCTGTTTGATATTTCCCTCTGCTCCCTTAGCTCTGCCTGGACCCCAGCTAGGCCCGAGTCTGCCTCGGCATGCTGGGCCTTCAGGGACACAAGCAGACCCCGGAGCCTGTCAGAAGGTAGCCCCATAAAGACCCTAGCCTCAACCCCCTCATCCTTTGCAGCCTCAGCATAGGTGAGGGAGGCCTGAGGGGCCTTGCTGGCACTAGCCACCTCAGGGGGGGTCTCAGGGACTACCTCCTCCTCGGTACCCTCTCCCACCTCCAGGAACGGGGGGGGCTGTTCTAGGAAGTGGAGGCCACTGCTGGCAAGTTCACGGCACTCAGCCAGCAGCCCAGAGAGCAGCTGGATATCGGCCCTGGTGTGGGCCGTAGCTCCCTGGGGGACCCCCACTTCCCTTTTCCATGCTGTAAGCTTCCTAGACATCCCCCCTGCCAGTTCCTCCAACAGGGAGACCTGGTTTCGTATTTGCCGGGAGAGGGCCTGATGCTCAGTCCAAGACAGGCCCCTGGTATCCGCCTTACCTTCCCCAAAAGCCAGCACTGCCTGCAGCTCGTCCAGCCTGACCTTCCATCCCCAGGCTGGGGAGGAAGGCCCGAGGGCCATGCTTGCCTAGGCCCAGGCAGAGCCCCTTGCTGTAGTAATTCCAAAGCCCAGAAATCAAGCTCCAAAGCAGCCACAAACGGGTGTGGTCCTGGTAACACACAGATGAAGCACAGAGCAGCTCCCTCTCCAGCAGTAATGGCAAACTCCTCCTACTCCAGTGGGAGGGGAGACAGTAAGCCCCACAACTGTGCAGATGGGACCGTAGTCTCTACACTGCCAGCACAGGGGGTAGGGATGGTCGGTCCTGCCCCCCAGCGACAGGGCTGTTTAGCCAAAGGGGAGACAGTCGGTCTCCCCCTCCAGCAGCAGAGATGGGTAACCAAAGGGGAGACGGTCGGTCTCCAGCAGCAGGACTGTGCAGCTAAAGGGGAGACGGTCGGTCTCCAGCAGCAGGACTGTGCATCTAAAGGGGAGACAGTCAGTCTCCAGCAGCAGCAGCAGAGCGGTGTATTTAAAGGGAGACAGTCGGTCTCCCCCTCCAACAACCAGGCTTCCACCAGGCTACCCTCCCAGTAGCACTGGCAACAGGGCAGAGTGCCGCTGGTCTCTGCCCACGCAGCAACCCACCAAGTCAGCGTACCCGTACCCAGCACAGCCGTGGTGAGGCACCTGGACATGGACAAGCTTCTTCTCTACCCAGGTGTAGTAACCATTTATTGTGGGTGGGCTGTGCTGTTGATTATTTCTTGTGGGTGGGCTGCTGGACTAACAAGGGCACTGACCGGCAGGAGGTCAGATACCCTGTTAGTCTGTTTGGAAAAGGGGAGAGATGTGACGAGACCAATCTCGCCACATTGCATTGGAGAAGCCTGGTTGCTCGCCTGCTGCCTTTGGACTATGGCCCCTTTTAAAAGACTTTATTTTTCCATGCAGAAAAGCTGTATTCGTGCTTTTCTGCTGGTTGTTCGGTAGTTTCAATCTACCGAACAACCGTACGAATGACTGGACCACCTGGGAGCTGGAGTGTGCCGGCAATTAACCTCCCTGAAGCTGCGGTTAACCGCAGCTTAATTGATGAACGCTGGGTGGCCGCCGTTCGTATCACGAACACGAGGTCGCGGCCATTTTAAACCATACGAATGAACAGCGGTGTTCGCCTCTATTTTTCATGGAACTAAAATCGGACACAGTTTTGTGCGAACACCGCTGAAGTCGACGACCTCCCTTCTTGTTCGGTGGAAGTACACGAATGACCCGGTGTTCGGTATTTTTGTGTGAATGTCTTATACCCCAGATAGGAATCCCATGGAGCCCATTCGTATGAAACTGACTGTAAAGACTTTGGCTCCATGGCGATTAAACTGCATTCGTGTGGTCTGAGTGCCATTCACCTAATAATGTGCACTCAGACCTGAGCTATCTGGGGATATGTTACATGTCTGTGGTTTAGGTAGTAAATGTTACTTTGTGCATTTTAAAGTGTTATGCTGGTTTTGTGTTCCCACGTGTGTAATGGAGTTTTGCCTTTGTCTTGGGAGATAATTGAGTTACTTCCCAATTATTTCCCAGGGCAGAGGGGAGGAAGCCAGGATGCATTGTGGGAATATACTGTGACTGTGTGTCCTTTTTGTATACTTGTCTGTCCCTTGTCACAGTCTCCCATTTGGTCCCCTAGGTGAGTGTCCACCAGGTGGGAGACCTGCATAAAAGCTGGGCAGGTAGCCCTCATTAAACAGACCACTGCTTGACCCTCAACACGGAGCCTTGTCTCGTCTTTGGGGGGATTTACTGTATGCTGCTAAGGACTGATTGCCAGGAGTGTAAGCCGCTTGGAAGCTTTTCCTGTTCGCCTGCTAGCAGCTATTCGTATGGTTCCTGTTCGTTTATTTGAAGTGCTACCTTATTCCCTTGTATGCCGTTCGGGAGTTTGGAGCATTCACTTATTGGCGGTTCGTGAGTTTTGGTGATTATACCGTAGCTGTGCCTGTCTCTGAAAAGGGGGATTATCGTCTAAGCGTTTTTTTCCCCTTTTGTGCAAAACGGTCCGTTACAAAACATATTAAGAAAAAAGGAGGAGGTGGGAAGGTATATTTGCTCTTTTTTGGTGTCATTTTCTCTTTTACTTCAACTGGCGTTACTCGGTACCTTTTGTTGCAGGTTGCTGCTACCACTTGTGGCTATTTCCCAGTGAGGGCCCACAAATACTTTTCGTACGCCGTAGCAACTTGACAAAGCTCTGTTTACTTCAGGATTTATTGTACGCTGCAGCTGAGCAGTGAAACTCTGCATGTTTCGGGTGCTTGTCTCCCAGACCCTGCCTTACCACTACGCGAGGACGTCATCTCGTCCTGCCGACTGGATGAACTGGCATGCCGTTTCACTGCATATTTAAAATGTTAGTAATGCCTAAATATAAATGTATTTTCAATGCTTAAATATAAATTCAAATTTCTCTAAACTGACTTCTAACTCAAGATATTATTATGTTTAGGCATCATTTACTTTACACCTGTTGTGTATTATATGTTCCAGTTATCTCAAATATTTTCAATGTACTATTTTACTTGATTTGAGATGGCCTGATTAAAAGAATTTAACTGAGGATCATGTAAGCTTTTCCTGCGACTTTAGGTATCTCATATCATTTGACATTAATTCACAAATTATATCACTGCTATTAATAGATTTTTTTATTTAAAATCTTTCCAATACAAATATGAATATGACTGTTTCTTATTCCCTCTCCCTAGTGAACACAACTGAGACATTTTATGGGGTGAGTGAAGCAGCAGAGATATGTATAAATTCACTTCACTTCTGTGTCTAGGGTGACTACATTGTTTTATGATACTCTGGGAGCAAATGCCATACAAGCACATGCACACTCTGGCATTCCTTGCTGAACATTGGCATATGACACTCATGCACTCCATGAGAACTAAATTTAATTGCATGATACGCTTTTGCTAAGGCCACACACAATGAAAACTATAAAATAAAAATAGGTTTGGATTATTATAAGAAACACGCTTAATGCTTAGATCAGGGGTCAGCAACCTATCACTCGTGGTGCTTTTTTTTCACAGCACTCAAGGCTGGTAGAGTGAAACAGGCTCTGGCCTATCAGGAGTCCCAGTGTGACTTCAGATTTCTGCCAGTGCAAACTGAGTAGTGCTTGCAGGTGTTGTGGGGCAATCCTCAATTCATGTATTGCAGCTCTTAATTGCAATTCATGTATCTTGAAGCTCAGATTACTTTCTCCCAGAACTTGTGAATGGGAATCCACACTGGAGCAGAGCAGCCCCAGCAACTATCGCAGCTCATGCACTTGACCTGTACAATGCCAGCCGCGGCCCCACTAGATCCCATGAAAGCCACCCACACTGCTAGCTATACCCAGAGCTGCAGAAGATACCTCGCCCTCACACAGACACACAGTCCCCACAAATACAACACTCATAAACCCTCACATTCAATACCACAGGCAGCCACACATACATCCCTAAACACAAATTTGAAAAGAGCATGGCAAAATACACACCTCAGTTTTAAAAAATAGGAATTTATGACATTATAAGCTGCAACAGTTCTTGATCAGCATTTATTTATATGTACATTTTTAATCTTTACATATTAAAAATGAATGGAGCTTTAACCTGGTCTCCGACAAAATGAAACCATGAAAAGCCAAACAATCATAAAAAGAAAATGTGAGGTTTATCATGTAAAGTACATTGAAGAGACTTGATATAATTATTTACCACAGCAAAAAGAGTGTAGCCATATCATTTGTCAATGCGCTTTTAAATGCAGGCCATCATGTACTCATGACATCTCCTAAACTGCTGAAAGCATTTATATTAAATAAAAAAATTAAAAAAAATAAAGAAAAAGCCTTTAACATTTTCTTAAAATAAATAGTTTTAAAAATGTATTGTACATGAAATCAAGAATTTTGATTCCTCAGGAATTTTTAAATAATTTATTTTTAAATAAAAATGAAGATAGTGACTTTTAGCAAGATGAACAGCAAAGCTTATTTCTAAAGGACATGTCTGAAAAAAAGACGTGCAGAATTCTTTGTCCATCGTGACCAGCCAGTCTGTAAATTATGTCAGTCTTCCAATCTCAACAAAACACAGTGTTGTGGATACAATTAGAGGCAGCAAGAAAGGATTCTAGTTAGTTGGGATCCTTAATGTTTCAACTTGGCATCAAGGCGTAACCAGTGCAGGCCTTGACGGGTGTAGCATACCAGTTCTGGGATGGTGCTGGAATGGAAGTTCAGGGGGCCCATAACTTTATCCAGTTCAGAAAAAAATTCTGGAGAGAAGAAATAAATAAAATGTAAATATGAGGCCAATATTCTTTTTTTCGAGTTATAATATTCCATGTCAAGCTGGATTCCAGTATCTAGACTAAAATCAGAGCAAGGACTTCCTCATCTTTTTAAAGTATGTTTTTACTAGTAGTTGTAATTGTAATTGTAAACTATTACAGCCCTTTAACGTAGAATAAATATAATAATTAATACAGAGAAACTAAGCAGTTTGTTACATATTATGTAAATAATAAGAAACCTTACCACTTTGCTCGGCGCAGAGTTGTTCTACTTGGTCCCAAATTTCAGTGGCATAAAGGAAGTTGGATGTGTCCTGGACAAAGCTGGCGGTCATCTGGTGAATCTTCTGTGATATAGTCACAAATGACGTGACTCCAGTAGTATTGGACACATTGGAGGAATAGCTATTAGAATTGCCAGGAGACAGCTTCGGAGACACTGGGAAAGGCATACTCACGGATTTGCTGTATGATAAATGAAAAAGTAATTGTTAGCATTTAACTTTAGTCAAAAAGAGCATGCTGCCTCTAATTATACTTGCATTCAGTTCCATTTCAGAGCGATTAAATATAGAAAACACATATATTTTGATTGTTAAGAAGCCTATAAATAACTGCATAACCTTAGATGTTTGCAAATGTTATGCCTTGCAGGTATAAAAGGAACACTTGAGTGGTTTAAAATACATTTATTTATAACTCCTGAGTGATAGGCTGTCTCCTGGGCACTTTTAGAAGTTCATTTCACATTTTAGGCCAAAGCAGGTTTGCTTTAAAACAAAACCGTTTTAGTTTCTGTTTTCTAGACACATATTGCCAAAAAATACTTTCCAAGGCATGTTCCAAACATTTAACTACAAAGAAATGAAATCACGTAGTTAATGCAAACGTCTTACCTTCCCCTCGTAGGAGATGGAGCTTGAGAATTACCATAAGAGATCTGCAAAGGGAAGAAAAATATGTTAAATATTGAATAAAATCCCTGGAATTACAGTAGGCCTTTATGATCTAATCCTCAAGGACCACTACCAGTCTATTATTATGTATATTATTATCCTCCTAATGTAGGATGTGAACTTCAGATAAGTAAACATTTTTAATGAATACATCTACAAATAATATCACCAACAAAATGTATAAAACAGAAGTATAAACATGTGAAGATGTACCTGTAATCCTCAAGATTTGTTCATGGCAGTTTAATCATGTACAATATTTAACTGTAGAAGGATTTGAACTTTGAACTATGGACCTGATAAGAATTACCCCTTACATCTACATTTCTATAACATATTTCAATTTAAATCAGTCATTACTATTCAAAAATATCAGTCCTAGACAAAATCACTGACAACACAAATTTATAAAAAAAGAATAACCCTAAAAATACAATATATAGAAATACCAAACAATTGCTACCATTCTGAAAAAGCTCTTACCTTTAGGTGTTCAGTTAATGTCTTGGAATCTTCCAATGCACTCTCCTTCTTCAGTTTGAATAACCTCAAGTACAAAAGGGATTGACAGCAAAGACTGAGGAGACACAACACAATCAATCACTAAATATGCAGCATGTAAAATCTGTATTAGTTAGTAGACCAGGTATCTCACTGGCTGGATGATTCAATTTAACATAGTGTTTTCTTAGTTGTCACATTTCTTTGTTAAAATATCTATCAGCAAAAGAAAACAATGTGGTACTAACTGTTGACACTGGTATAATCTTTGTCCTATTAGTACAGGTAGCCATGCTTACCAACTGGTTGCAAATCTGAAGGGAGAATAGCACCTTGATTATAACACTCCCTGCCATATATACCTAGAACTTTTAGTTATCTGTTCACATTTAGAAGTGTCTGTAAGCAATGTATGATTCACAAGCATCCAGTTTGAAACTGGCTATTCCAAACAGATCATATTTGTTAAGTCCAACCAATGACTACCTCACTGGCATACACTTTATAGACATATCTACTGGAAAGTGAGGAATTTGTGCATGGAGACATGTAAAACATAGCATGGCTTATATTTTCCACTTTCAGATATTTGCTCTACTATCTGCCTTCAGAATTAATATCAGATAACGCTCGGTTATGGTTTTCTGACAATGGTGTGATTTTGGTTTAGAATGCAAGAGTGAAAAAATACATACCAAAGAACAGCAAGTCTCTTATCAGCTGATGTAGCATCAGGGGCTGCAGGGCATGCCAATTTCAAGGTGTACCTTAAAAGATAGTAAAATTAATTGTTGTAGTAGTATATTTGTAAGACATTAACGTTTACTTTCACTGCACACAGCTGCCACAAATTTCTAACAACATTATTCCACTACTAAGATTCCTAATAGAATAGACTACATCAGACCCCTGGTAGTATTTCAATTCAGCATTCTAATTTGTATAGAATACAAAAGAACAGGTGTTGAGCAGTGACCAAAGAGGAAAGGCAAGGTGACACCCACCACAGGCTGCAGGCATTATGGCATGTATTACTAATATTAACACCACATTGTTCTGGTTTCTCTACAGCCTAGTTTGGTTTTAAGCTGGATGCCATGAAAATAGAGCATCCACAGAAAAGTGTACCTATCTCTAATATGTTACATGATGCTCTGCACAAAACATCGGCAGTGATTTAAAGAAAAAAAACAAAAAAACTACTGCTTAACAAGTAATAATATGACAAGCATATCACATCCCATAAAAATGAAAGTTCAAATTGAAATACATACTTTATTAACTCTAATGTTTCACCATACATCCGAAATGGAGATTTTGATTCTTCAACACTCTTCTCTAAAGCGTTCCCACACTCAATGAAAGAAAGCACCGCATCAAGGTAGAGTACTGCTTTCTCGAACCTGTCTGACTATGAAGGAAATAAAAAAGATTATTATTTTTTTTTTCCAGGTTAGAAAAATACAAAGACAAAATAACTGAAAAATTACAATACATGCAAAATCCGCTATGTATTCCAACCTCCAGAATAAAAGTAAGCAAAGTGAAAAGCACCTTTGTAAAGATTTGGGGGTACTTCATTACCAACGCATCAGCCTTGTGCTTTACTTTCTTTGCTTCCAGTAGATAGTGATCAGCTGAATGGGTTCTGCAAGAGGCAAAATGGATTAAGAGATGTTTTCATACCAAAGTTTTATGAAACTACTCATTGCAAAGGAAATAAGTGATAAAACATATTGTCTAGTTTAATCATTTGAGTAGTGATGTCCCGAACGGTTCGCCGGACTCATCATTGAGTAAACTTTGACCCTGTACCTCACAGTCAGCATTCACATTCCAGCCAATCAGCAGCAGACCCTCCCTCCCAGACCCTCCCACCTCCTGGACAGCTCACTAAGAATGCAGCTTCACAATGAATGCAAAATGCATGCTGTCCAGGAGGTGGGAGGGTCTGGGAGGGAGGGTCTGCTGCTGATTGGCTGGAATGTGTCTGCTGACTGTGAGGTACAGGGTCAAAGTTTACTCAATGATGAGTCCGTGGCGAACCGTTCGTGGCGAACCGTTCGTGGCGAACCGTTCGCAAACCATTCGGCGAACCGTTCAGGACATCACTACATTTGAGTGCTAGAGAGAAAAGCAAGGCATACAAATCATTCTTACACTGACACTCGGAGTTAAGTCTATATGACAGTTTATAAGGACAGAAGACAATGGCAGTTGGGCCCTAAGATCAGATTGTAGCCAACAACTACCCCCAGCATCCCCAAACTTTCCCAGAGATTGGTAATGTGTAGATCAAAAATATTATTTTGCTGACAAACATTGTAAATTATTTACTTGTTTTGTTGTTTGGTGTTTTTGAGTTTTCTACAATCTTAAAGATTTATCTAATAGAGAGAGTTAAGTAATGTGTTTGTTTAACACTAGAAGTCTTATAACTAGAAGGTTATAATAGCACAGGGACTTTTAAAGCCATCTGTTGTATGGACAAAATTTGGTGTTTTTGAGTTTTCTAATGTGATGTGTTGAGTTAAGCAATGTGTTTGTTTAACACTAGAAGTCAAAAGTTATAATAGCCCAGGGACCTTTAACGTCAGCTCTTGCTGGACAACATTGCCGACATTATTTTTCCTATCCAACAACAGCTGAAGTAGAATAGAAGTTTTGATAAGAAAAATGCTATTTAGTTTTATGAAAAAAGATAAAACATGTTGTCTTGTGTTACCATTTGAGAGTCCTTCACAGAGATTGTTAAGGTGTAACATGTTAAATAATTAACTTGTTTTATTTGTGTTTTCATGTTATAAACTATCATAAAGGTTTATCTGTACAACACCATGTTAAAGAGATGATTTTGTATTTCAAATGCCTCACCTGTCTTCGAAGGTCAGTTTTGCTCTCCACGATTTGTTATCGATTGCTGGCACAAAAGCGACAGAAGCTGTATTACCTGAGGGTTTATCCTGGAAAGGAAGAAATGCACAATTCATTACACAAAGTAAAGTATTGCAGACTATATTGTTGTTACTGCTGTTCCAATTGTGATGTCTATATCATTGAAAATCATTTAACCCCTTAAGGACACATGACATGTGTGACATGTCATTATTCCCTTTTATTCCAGAAGTTTGGTTCTTAAGGGGTTAAATAAATAAAAAACCTGAGTGGAATAGGTATTCTATTTATGAATGAGATCTAATCAAGACAGTAGAATTCTTCCTCACAACAATTTATTGGGTCTCCAATAATGGACCAAGTTATATTGTCAGAACTGTCAGAAATGTGCTTCTGTTTTGTTCTATATCCATAAACTGGTTTAAAGTTAAACGCATGTTGGCTGAAAGCAACACATAAAGCCTTGAAAATAAATGGTCGGCTATTACGTTGCTTATTGACTTCACCACAGACTAAGGGTCTGTAGCTGAATCCAATTAGATTGGGTTATGTACGGGTTTAACAATACTCGGCTACACGCTATTCTCGTTGAAGAAGGATTTACTCAGTTTAAGAAGTAAACATGTTCAACTTCGCAAATAAACAATGCAATATTTGTTGGATTTAACAATCCCTTAAGATATTAATTTGGGCAAATCAGGTTTTTGTAACTATCATCCCTAAGAATTTCTGTCTGGAAAACCATTGCAATGTTTACCTTTGTTTCCTCGGTGCTACTTTCAATTTTTCTTTCCTTATCAGAAGTCTTACTTTTGGTGCCACTATCCTTTGTGCTGCCACTGCTGCTGGATTTCTGAGATGAAGACTGGCTAATGGTTCTTTTACGAGACCCATGTTCAGACTTGAAATCTTTCTGTAGAGCAGGGGTTACAGTTGAAGGGAGTAACTCTCTTTCCTTTACAGGATTTGGTTTTGACAACCTGAAACATGAAAAAACAAATATATTAATGAGGTGTTGCAACACAATGTACATGAGAGGTTACACAGACGCACACACAATACAAACATAAACACATAGTGAATGAATAAACAAGATCAGATATACTACTTACTCTTTACTGGGCACTTTGTAGTTTGTGGTCTTTTCTTCCACTTTTTGTTTCTTGGCATCATTACCCTTTAATTCTTCATCATTCTGTTAAAAAAGAAAAAAATCAATATTATGTACATATTCTATAAATATAAAATATTTAAAAATATCCAATCACAGTGCAAAGCTCAAGTTTTTAAAGGCACCCTTATTTAGAAAAATAAAAAATCTGAATTTTCTATCGAATTCATGTCAGTCAATAAATCTTAACATTTATTATTTATATTAATCTGAATGGAAACTTGGGACACCTAGCCAAGTGTATAACAAAGCTTTGTTCAGTTTCTATTTGATGTCCTTGAAGAAACATTAAAATGGCTATTTAGACAGCACAAGAATCAATTGTTTGCAGAACTAGGTTTGCAAATAACACAAAATGAGACAATATTGAGAACCCCATTACAGTGGGAAAATATATTTGTTTAGGAAAACTTCAGTAACCAATGCAACTTATGCTAGTGGTCAGAATGGTGAAAGTGTAAAACAAAAACAAATTTCCACACAAGGACAGATGTCATTTCTGGAATAAAATCATGTGTCTTTGGTCCAGGAGTAAAATTACAGTAGGAACAAACCCCTCTATTCATTATGAAAAAGTTAGAGCTGTGAAAGCAAGTTAAACTGGAAAGACATATAAAGTAAATTTTACTATAATTTTAAAATTATGTGGTGTTTTGGGACAGAAAAAGAAAACATTAATAAATCATATTCAAAACAATTCTTTGTGTACGTGTTGAAATTACAAACCTTGTGCGTCCGCTTTCCCTTATTGAAACTTTGCTCGGTCTGTTTCTGGGTTTCTTTTGGGTGCTGCTTAGGTGCGATCTTTTCAATCGTGGGCTGCTCTGCATTTTTGTAAGGCCATCCAGGAATCTGGGACAACAGGCTTAAGTCATGTTTTACAATAAGAGGTAACTGATCCTCAGGGTCACTAAGGGGTGAAAGAAGCCCCTTCATAGGAATGAATAATGAGCGATAAAAAATATCATCCTGCTCAATGGAGGGTTTTAGAGGAGACGTTCTATTGCTCTCTAAATTTTTAGAAGTTTGGAATAAAGATGTTTTAACAAATTTTCTGGACTTCTGAAGGGATTTAGGTAAAGACTGAGACTTTTTATTCTCTGCTGCAAGGCTGGGAGAGGATTTGGGTTCTTTCTTCATGTTGAGTTTGTGAGAGCCATTTGTAGAAGCCTTGGGTCTGTTAGGGGGCATATTTGTAGTAATTTCTGCTGTAGTAACAATTTCTATTTTGTGTGCTACTACAGATGCCTTTTCAGTTTTTTTGGACAAAGTTCTCCTTTGTGTTGTGCCCTCATATTGAGCTGGAGACTTATGCCTGTCCTGGCTGCTTACATTGCCTTTTTGTGCAGTCTTGGTGTTTTGGATGGGGGTAGATGAAGTGGTGGACTCCTTTGTGCTACTTGATTCTGTATAACCTGCTTCAGTGCCCTGCCCCAACTTCCACTTATTTAAAGATGAAAGGTCAGCCTAAAAAATAAATAAATGAAAGTTAAAAAAATAATTGATCATAAATTTTGACATTTACAAAGCTATGTAGACTATGTGAAAAACAAAAATATTGTTACTGAAGACACTGAAGATACTAAAAGAAAGCAGACATCTGTGAGCAAAAATATATTATCTCATGAAAATGGAAATACAGTTCAGCAGCCATGTCAAGCCACAAAAATCACAAAACACACTGCTGTATGAAGTCAAAAGTTGCCCTTGGTCTCAAAGTAAAACTGCACTGTCTTCTACAGATTTAAAGGGACACTACATGCACCCACACCACTTCAAATCATTAAAGTGGTCTGGGTACAGTGTCCCTATTGCATTTAGTCCAAAGAAACTACAATGTTTACATTTAAGCACTTAGTCTGCCTCCAGTGGCTTTATAGGAGACAGCCACTGGAGGCAGTTCTTGGATCCAAACAGACCTTTGGTCCGGTAACTGATGCTGGACATCCTCACGCTCTGCATGAGGACATCCAGGGTCAGATTTTTCCCCATGGGAAAGCAGTCATTCAGTGCTTTCCTATAGGGAGGTCTATTACACGCGCTGCATGTGCCAAGCATGTCCATTAGCAATCGCTTATCGGAGGAGGCGGAGCTGTTACCCAGCACCAAGTTAAATTGACATTGGTATAAGGTGAGTAAATAAAGGGTTATTAACCTTTTATTCACCACGATCTGGTGGTTAGGAGGGATGGGGAGGAAGAGGGAAGCTATAGTGCCAGAAATAGAGCTTTGTATTCCTGGCACTTTAGTATCCCTTTAAGTACAAATTGTGATATTTCATAGAATGGGGACTTGTCTGGTCAGGTATGTTGTAGCCTATTCAATGAAAATGGCTAAATGCAAATCAACTAAAAACAAAGATAATAGCATTCTTCAATTAGAATTATTTTTAGCAGTTGGGGAGTCTGCAAGCCATGATAATATATAATGGAATTCAATTATTTTTCTCAGCATTCCAGGTAAACTAAAACACAATATGAACAATTTTGCACTTTTCTGTAGTGGAACAATGTGTTATTTTTGTGTTTCTTTTAATGGTATTCAAATATTATAAGATTGAGGAGATGGCTGGAATATTCGTAAAAAAAAAAATGCAAATAAAATAAAAATACTTTATAAACCTTTACAAATATTAAGGGACGTTGTATTTTCCTTTTAAAATAGGGAATACAAGTATTCAATCTTGCAGTAAAATTACACAGGCTCACACAAACCTATCTAAACAAATGGAAGCGAAAAGGGACATAAAGTTAATGTCACTATAGCTATAAAAATATGTGATGTTTTGGGACAGAAAAAGTAAACAAAATAAATCATTTGCAAAGCAATTTTATGTGCATGTGATAAGATTACGTACCATGTGCTTCCACTTCCCATTGTTGGAGCTCTTCACTGTCTGCTTCTTGGTCTCTTTTTGTTGCTTCTCAGGTTCAGTCTTTTCAACCTTGGGCTGCCCTGCTTTTTTGTAAGGCTGTCCAGGTATTGGGGATAACAGGGTTAAGCCAGTCTTTACAATAAGAGATAGCTGATCCTCTGGGTCTCTAAGGGGTGAAAGAAGCTTCTTCATAGGAGTAAACAATGATGAAAAGTGAAAAAAACTATCATCCTCATCAATAGAGAGTTTTAGAGGAACACTCTCTATTTTGAGTCCATCTCGTGGTGCCTCTACAGATTCCTTTGCAAAATGCCTGGACTGTTTTTTCAAAATATCTCTCCTTAGTGTGGTGTTTTGAAATTTAGATGGAGACTTCATTCTGCCTCGTCTGCTTTCAGAGCCTTTTTGTGCATTCTTGGTGTCTCGGGTGGGGATAAAAGAAGTGGTAAACTCCTTTGGACCACATGATTCTGTATTTCCTGCTCTAGTGTCTTGCTCTTGATTCTCCTTGTTGTATCCATGGGATGATACCATATTAGTCTCTAATGAAGATGCAAGAGACACTTTGTGTGGATTCCCCTTCTTCAACCAGTTACCCAAATGCCACTTATTTGATGATGGAGGGTCAGACTAAAAAAAAGTTAAAATTAAATTAATTGCAATTTCTGACAGTCATAAAGCAACAAATACAATGAACAAAAAAAAACTTTATTATAGAAGACATAATAAATACTAAAAAAAGCAGACATCTATTAGCAAAAATATATTACCTGATGAAAATGGAAATTTCCAACAGAAGCCATGTCAAGCCACATAAATCACAAAACAAACTACTGTAGGAATTTAATAGTTTGCACTTGATCATAGTAAACTAAGCTGTCCTCTACAGGTGTGCCTGCGAGCAATAAAAAACACTAACAATGTGATCAATTTAAATTCAAGCACTTTCTTTGAAGTGGAAATTTGTACAGATTTTGTTTCTAAAATAATTAAATTATATTCAAATATAATGTGATTGAGGAGATGGCTAGAATTTAAGTTCACAATAGGAAAACAAATTCTTTATAAAACTAGAAATATTTAGGGAAATTGTATTTTCCTTCTAAAATGGGGAATAAAAGCACTTAATCTTAACTTTTCCAGTTTTAGAGCTAAATTATTAAACTATTTATTGATTAATTATACCAAATCTGTCTGTATTATTCCGTCTTCTTTCTTTTCTGCTATATTCACTTGTGGATATTAGAATTTTACATTTTTTTTACTTAATCTTACTGTACAATTAAAAGATCCCATTATATTGGATCATGAAGACCAATAAAAACACAATTTCTACTACAGGTGGTAATATTTTTAGGAGTTGGTGTGCCTAAGAGCCATGAAAACACTAACAATATAATCAATTTCATTTCATATCTAACTCAAAAATTAATTGGAAGGTTACAATAAAAGTTTAATATATAATAGGATTAAGTTATTTTCCCCTGCATTCCAGGTTGACAAAAATCAATATTGAATATTCTTATGTTTCTAAAAGAAACAAATTGCATTCAAATATAATGTAATTGAGGAGATGGCTGGAATTTAAGTTCACAATGTGAAAACAATTACTATATAAAACTTTAGAAATATTTAGGGAAGTTGTATTTTCCTTATAAAATGTTGAATACAAGTACTTAATCATACTGTACAATTAAAAGATCCCATTATATAGGATCATGCAGACCAATATAAACACAATCTGACTATAAGTAGTAATTGTGAATTCATAAATCTATGAAGATTATGGAAAACAACAACAATGTTATAGAAGACATTAAAGCTACTAAAAGAAAGCAGAAATCTATTAACAAAAAGGTATTACCTCATGAAATAGAAATTCAGGACAGCAGCCATGTCAAGCCACAACAATCACAAAACACACTGCTGTATGAATTCAAAGATTGCACTTGGTCACAAAACAAGACTGAACTGTCCTCTACAGGTTTAAGTACAATTTGTGAGATTTCATAGAATGTGGACTTTTATGGTCAAGTACAAAGTAGCCTATCCAATAAAAATGGCTAATTGCAAATAAATAAAAAACAAGTACAATAACCTTCCTCAGTTAGAATATTTTTAGGAGTTGGTGTGCCTGGGAGCCATGAAAACACTAACAATATAATCAATTTCATTTCATATCTAACTCAAAAATTAATTGGAAGGTTACAATAAAAGTTTAATATATAATAGGATTAAGTTATTTTCCCCTGCATTCCAGGTTGACAAAAATCAATATTGAATATTCTTATGTTTCTAAAAGAAACAAATTGCATTCAAATATAATGTAATTGAGGAGATGGCTGGAATTTAAGTTCACAATGTGAAAACAATTACTATATAAAACTTTAGAAATATTTAGGGAAGTTGTATTTTCCTTATAAAATGTTGAATACAAGTACTTAATCATACTGTACAATTAAAAGATCCCATTATATAGGATCATGCAGACCAATATAAACACAATCTGACTATAAGTAGTAATTGTGAATTCGTAAATCTATGAAGATTATGGAAAACAACAACAATGTTATAGAAGACATTAAAGCTACTAAAAGAAAGCAGAAATCTATTAACAAAAAGGTATTACCTCATGAAAAAGAAATTCAGGACAGCAGCCATGTCAAGCCACAACAATCACAAAACACACTGCTGTATGAATTCAAAGATTGCACTTGGTCACAAAACAAGACTGAACTGTCCTCTACAGGTTTAAGTACAATTTGTGAGATTTCATAGAATGTGGACTTTTATGGTCAAGTACAAAGTAGCCTATCCAATAAAAATGGCTAATTGCAAATAAATAAAAAACAAGTACAATAACCTTCCTCAGTTAGAATATTTTTAGGAGTTGGTGTGCCTGGGAGCCATGAAAACACTAACCATATAATCAATTTCAATTCATATCTATCACAAAAATTAAGTTGGAAGGTTACAATAAAAGTTTAATATATAATAGGATTAAGTTATTTTCCCCTGCATTCCAGGTTGACAAAAACCCAATATTGAATATTCTTATGTTTCTAAAAGAAACAAATTGCATTAAAATATAATGGGATTTAGGAGATGGCTGGAATTTAAGTTTACAATGTGAAAACAATTACTATATAAAAATTTAGAAATATTTAGGGAAGTTGTATTTTCCTTCTAAAATGTTGAATACAAGTACTTAATCTTACTGTACAATTAAAAGATCCCATTATATGGGATCATGCAGACCAATATAAACACAATTTGTATTTCAAGTTGTAATTGTGAATTCATAAAGCTAAGAAGATTATGGAAAACAGCAACAATGTTATAGAAGACATTAAAGCTACTAAAAGAAAGCAGAACTCTATTAACAAATATATATTACCTCATGAAAACAGAAATTCAGGACAGCAGCCATGTCAAGCCACAAAAATCACAAAACACACTGCTGTATGAATTCAAAGATTGCACTTGGTCACAAAACAAGACTGAACTGTCCTCTACAGGTTTAAGTACAATTTGTGAGATTTCATAGAATGTGGACTTTTATAGTCAGGTATGTATTAGCTTATCCAATAAAAATGGCTAAATGCAAATCAACTAAAAACAAAGACAATAACCTTCCTCAATTAGAATATTTTTAAAAGTCGGTGTGCCTTGGAGCCATACAAACACTAACAATGTGATCCATTTAAATTCAAATCAAGTGCAAAAATTAAGTTGGCAGGTTACAATAACAGTTTAATATATAATGGGATTAAGTTATTTTCCTCTGTATTCCAGGTACACCAAAACACAATATGAAACTGAGAACAGTTAGCACATTCTTCTGAAGTGGAAATTTGTACAGGTTTTGTTTCTAAAATAATTAAATGATATTCAAATATAATGTGATTGAGGAGATGGCTGGAATTTAAGTTCACAATGTGAATACAAATACTTTATAAAACTTTATAAATCTTTAGGGAAGTTGTATTTTCCTTCTAAAATAGGAAATATAAGTACTTACTCTTACTGTACAATTAGAAGATCCCATTATATAGGATCATGCAGACCAATATAAACACAATTTGTACTACAAGTAGTAATTGTGAATTCATAAATCTATGAAGATTATGGAAAACAACAACATTGTTATAGAAGACATTCAAACTACTAAAGGAAAGCAGAAATATATAAACAAACATATATTACCTCATGAAAACAGAAATTCAGGACAGCAGCCATGTCAAGTCACAAAAATGACAAAACATTCTATAAAGTCAAAGAATGCACTTGGTGACAAAACAAGACTGAAATGTCCTCTACAGGTTTAAGTACAATTTGTGAGATTTCATAGACTATGGCCTTTTATAGTCAGGTATGTAGTAGTCTACCCATTAAAATGTCTAAATGCAAATCAACCAAAATCAAAGACAATAACCTTCCTCAATTAGAATATTTTTATGAGTTAGTGTGCCTGCAAGCCATGAAAACACTAACAATATAATCAATTTCAATTCATATCTATTTCAAAAATTAAGTTGGAAGGTTACAATTAAAGTTTAATATATTATGGGATTAAGTTATTTTCCCCTGCATTCCATGTTGATAAAAACCCAATATTGAATATTATTATGTTTCTAAAAGGAACAAATATCATTCAAATATAATGTTATGGAGGAGGTGGCTGGAATTTAAGTTCACAATGTGAAAACAATTACTATATAAAACTTTAGAAATATTTAGGGAAGTTGTATTTTCCTTCTAAAATGTTGAATACAAGTACTTAATCTTACTGTACAATTAAAAGATCCCATTATATAGATTCATGCAGACCAATATAAACACAATTTGTATTACAAGTTGTAATTGTGAATTCATAAAGCTATGAAGATTATGGAAAACAGCAACAATGTTATAGAAGACATTAAAGCTACTAAAAGAAAGCAGAAATCTATTAACAAAAATATATTACCTCATGAGAACAGAAATTCAGGACAGCAGCCATGTCAAGCCACAAAAATCACAAAACACACTGCTGTATGAATTCAAAGATTGCACTTGTTCACAAAACAAGACTGAACTGTCCTCTACAGGTTTAAGTACAGTTTGTGAGATTTCATAGAATGTGGACTTTTATGGTCAAGTACAAAGTACCCTATCCAATAAAAATGGCTAATTGCATATCAATAAAAAACAAGTACAATAACCTTCCTCAGTTAGAATATTTTTAGGAGTTGGTGTGCCTGGGAGCCATGAAAACACTAACCATATAATCAATTTCAATTCATATCTATTTCAAAAATTAAGTTGGAAGGTTACAATAAAAGTTTAATATATAATAGGATTAAGTTATTTTCCCCTACATTCCAGGTTGACAAAAA